TCATTTTCCTCAACATACCTATCTGAAATGTTCTGACTGTAACTGTACCAAATTTCTAAATTAATCTGAAGATAACTGACAATGTTATATTATTCTGTCATGAACATGGAATATCTCTCCATTTATTCAAAACTTCCTTTGATGTTCTTTAATTTAATTTAAATTTTTCTTCTGTAGGGCACTTATTTCTTGATAAACTAATTGCTAAGTAGATAATAGTTTTTGTAGCTATTGTGAATGACATATTTTCTACTATATTTTTTATTGGCTGTCAAATGATCTTTAATTGATATATTTTCCTTTATAGTTCTTAACTAGCTGGGCATTCCACTGCCCCACTGCTGATGTCATCTATGATGTCCTGAGGTGGTGGCCATCAACATTACAGCCCACAGACTGGGCAGTCCCCAGGATCTCTTTACTGGTTCCAGAGAATTCTCTAGCTAAAGATCTGTCAGGCAATGTTGACAATCTCATTAAAGTGATATTTCCACTGTGTTTAATGTTATTTTGCTTCTTTCTGCCTCTTGGCAATTCTTTGAGAGCTTCGATGATCAGGGTAGAGGTAGAGGTACTACCTCAATCCGGACCTGTCTGTCCTGAATGGTAAGTGTTCACTGCAATCCTCAGACCCTTCCAATCACCCGTTGATTTGGCCATGTCATCACCAAACTTTTTTGAGACAGGCCCAGGGGACCGATCTTGGGGGCCAGGGCAGACATGGCCCCTATTTCCCCATTGGTGCACCCTAGGCATGCAACTTTGATCTCCTTGAGTCAAACTTGTGGCACGGTGCAGGCAGCTGATGTCGGATGAACTCAGATTCGGGATGATCGAAGAAAGTTGCACCTAAGCCTCCTCCAAGCCAAAAGCTAGTCTATTTTATGGTTGGTATGTGCTGGTGTGGAGACATGCTATTGGTTTTTAGTAATTGATGTTGTGTGTGGCAATCTTGCTGAATCCTTTCATTAGTTCTAAAAGAGGATCTGCTGTTTGCTTTCTATGTAGATGATCATAGATCAGTGATGGCGAACCTATGACACGCGTGTCAGAGGTGACACGCAAACTCATTTTTTTTGGTTGATTTTTCTTTGTTAAATGGCATTTAAATATATAAATATCAAAAATATAAATCTTTGTTTTACTATGGTTGCAAATATCAAAAAATTTCTGTATGTGACACGGCACCAGAGTTAAGTTAGGGTTTTTCAAAATGCTGACACGCCGAGCTCAAAAGGTTCGCCATCACTGTCATAGATAGCACTTGTGAATAATGAGAACTTTATCTCTTTCCTCCAATCTTTACACCTCTGTGTTAGCTTGCTAGGACAGCCGTAACAAAGTGCCACAGACTAGAGGCTTAAACAGCAAAAATGTATTTTCTTAGAATTTCAGAGGCTAGAAGTCCAAGATTAAGGTGTCAGTGGGGTTGCTTCTTCTGAGGCTCTCTGCTTGACTTGTAGATGACTCCTTTTCCTGTGTTCACGTGGTCTTTCTGCTGTGCATTCTGTGTCTTAATCTTTTCTTATGAGAACACCAGTCATATTGGAGTTGGACCCACCCTAAAAACCCTATTTTAACTTAATTATCTTTTTAATGACTCTATCTCCAAATACAGTCACACTCTAAGGTTCTGGGGGCTAGGACTTTTAAATATAAACTTCGGGAATATAATCTCTCATCGCTTTTTCATGGCTTCAACTGCAGTGATAGCCCAAGTTTCCCCCATACTTTTACATTTCACAGTTGTGCCAAGAGGCAAGGAGTGGGAAAGAGGAAAGAACTGGAGTCAAACCTGTCCCCAAGTGAGGCTCTCTGTCCCCCTCTGCCTCTGGCTATGTTCTCCCTGCATGCAGAGCAGGATGTCCCAGAGTTTTCCCACCTAGACTTTATGCTAGTTCTTGGGCACCTCCACACTTCCCTCTCTTCCATGGTGTCTCCAGAGTATAGGTTTGGTGGCAGGGGTGGGAGAGGGGGCAAGGAGGAGTGGAGTGAGCCATTCATCCAGAAATTCCCATGATTGACTTGTTTTAGAATTATCTCTGTGGCTATAGTGTAAAAGTTAAATTAGAAGTGGGTAATATTAGAGACTGAGCGACTAGATAAGGGGCTATTGCAATAAATGATTCCTATACAGTAGTGTCAACAGGAATGGAGAAACTGATGGTGTTGAAAGGACTTGGCAATTCTCTACATGTGGAATAGAAGGCAAGAAAGACATCAAGGATGTTTGCTGGACAGGGTAACTGGATGGATGGCAGTGGTTTTCACTGAGATGATTTAGGACATAGGAGCAAGAAAAGGTTTAGGGTTGCAAAAGGACTCATGGAAAATGACATGCCCACAAGACATGCCCATCATCCAAAATGAGATGTTCAACAGACAGATGGAGCTATAAAGCTAGTATTCAGGAAAGAAAAATGGCCTGGATGACCTTGGAAGTCATCAGCACAAGAATGGTAATTGAAGCCAAAGAAATAGATGAGCACAGGTGAAATTTCCAGGATGGTGTGAAAAGGGAGAATAGAGCACCTAGGACATATTCTTGAGGATCGCCATATTTAAGAGCTTGTCTGAAAAGGAAGAGGGAGCAAAGGAGCCTAAGAAGGAGCTGCCAGTGAAACAGGAGGAAACCCAGCAGTGTCACAGGAAGCAAAAGAAAAGTGTGCATTAAGAAACATGACCAGGTGAGAAATTAAATCCGATGAGGATTAAAAGGTATTCCTGGATTTAGGGACATGGATGTCTTGATGGCCTCTGCTCCCAGTAGGGGCGATTGTCATTCTCACCATTGTGATGACAATAAATGCTCATTAGCAATGATATCGCCTTAGAACTATATTTTATACTTTTTCAAGCAGTTTATATTTCACAACTTTCTTTTGTTTTATGTAAATTGTGGCTTATAATACCATTTTTGAAGGAACTAGGGAAGGTTTTCTGGAGAAGAAAAGACTCAGGGAGGAGATTGGGGGTGGAGGCTGAACATGCTGGGCATATTTGAATTCACAAAAGGCTGTCCAGAGTCTGCTGGAGTGAAGCAAGACTTGACTTAGATGTTTGCAAAGTCAGAGCTGTCCAACCAAAGAATGTGCTGCCTACAAAGCTAAAAAGACCCTCACCCCACCTGTTCTAATTTCTTGAGTCCTTTCATTGTCTCATTTTATCTTCACAGCAGTTCTGTGTTTACAGATGGGGAACCTGAGGTTCAGAGAGGTTAAGGAGTATGAAGATCATATAATGTGGAATAGATAGAATGTGGAAGGAAGGCACCTAAGATAGGTCTTCTCATTCCAAGAGCAGTATTTTGGCCATGCCTCACATCACAGAGGTTCTGTCTGGCCAGGCCCTCCATCACAGAGGATCTAACAGCTGCCTAACAGGGAAGCCCCAGCCAGAATTACTGCATATGGAAAAGAGAAGGGCTGGTAGGGGCCGAGTCCCTCTACCAAGTGAAGCTGAATCCAGCGATTATGATTTTCTTTATCTTGTGGGAATAACTCACTCTTTACAGATAAGAAATCAAATGCAGAGGCTAAGAGACTGCTGTTGAAAAATAAAGATATACCTTCATTAATGCTGACCCAACAAATGACTGTGCTTCTAGAGGCCTCTGCAATAGCATTCCAACCTACAAGGTGGCTAGAGCTATGATTATGATCACTTTACCGGGATCAATATTTTTCTGGGCTGGGGGACTCTGTTCAGGGAGTCTTTGTCCCTATGTCCTGCTGCAGGGACAGCCTTGATGACTGGATCCCTGTATGGAGTCAGCAATGGCCCAGGCTCACACTCCAAGTCACAGCTCTCATTCGTAGTCACCACCTCAACTGTTCCCTAGGGGTGTCACCATATCAGGGAATAAGGACACACTGGGCCACCCGGAACAAGTTTGAGCAGTGACACCATGTAACTATCACAGGAGACAGAGAAGCCACAAACAGATTCAACTCTTCAACAGAACTCATCCCTCATGACTAAGAAAGTCACTAAGATTCTTAGCCATTCTGGCGGGTAGCATAGAGCCTCAAGGTGGGAGACAGAGAACTTTCTGCTAATTAGGTCAAGGAGAGCTCTTGCAGTTAATCTGGAAGAAATTATGAGCAAACCATATATTCATCAACAAGAAAATGAATAAATAAATATGGTATATCCATACAGGGAAATGCTATACAGCAGTGAAAAATGGGCAAACAAAGGTAATATGTGTAAAATATATTGGGAGAAAAGAAAGCAAATTGCAGAAAAATGCATGCAGTACGACATAATTTAATGTTTTTAAAAGCCTGCAAAGCAGTTCTATACATTGCTTAGGATATACCGTATACATACTGGTGCAGCAAAAGTAGAAGAAATGATTGGGACTGATAAAGACCTCATTCACGGAACTAGTTACATGTTGGATGAAGACATGGTGGGGAAGATGCCACAGGGAAAGGTTTCCACAGTACTGGAAATATTTCGTTTCTTAGGATAGGTTGGTTATACCAATATCTCACATTATTCTTTAGGCTTTTCTTGCTTTTAAAATATATTTCCTAGTAACTTTTTCTGACCGTGTTTATACCCAAAGCTGGGAACACAAATTATAGCTATCGTATTTGTTAATAAATCTGTCTCTCCTGCTGAGGTGTACAGGTGAGACCAGAACTCTTGAGACCAGAACTATTCAGCTAAGCTGCTCCCAAATTCTTGGCCCCCTAGGTTTGGAGGGAGGGGGGTATTTGTTACACAGAAACAGAAAACTATTATGAGGAGCCACTGAGTATTCCTGAGCCAAGCAGGGACACTAGGAAAGTGGTATTTTACCAGCCTATCTTGTGGCCTCTGAAGACCAAACAGCTAGGTTAATGTTTGATATGCAAAGCCCTAGGTGGTTAGCACACACCCGGAAGAGCCCGCAGCCCCAGACTTCGTGGGTGGGGCAAGCAACACATCAGTAATTTCAGTGTGGCCTCAGCAGACCACTCTTGGTCAGCTCTGCACTTTTTCCAATCAAATCTACTTGCCCAGGGGGATGCCTCCTGAGGACAAAAAGAAGACCTTCAGGCTGCAAACCTCCAGAGTTCAGCTAAAGCACAGGGAAGGGACAGCTGGCCTATGGTGCTCAGAGGAGATGAGGAAAACATCCTCCTGTCCGGGAGATGCTGTGCAGCTCTAAGGGACAGAGTGACCAAGAATGGAGCCAGAGACCCCTCACCTTCGGCTCTCCTGCAGCCTGGTAAGAATTATCCCAGGTTGGATGTCCCATTTACCATCTTACATCCATGCTTCCAGATAGACAGAGGAGAGGGTGGGGGAGTGATGGGAAAAGAGATGTTCACACAATACACAACCATAAAGGGAGAAGATAATGCATTTGGCAAAGCAAAAGAAGCTATCTTTTTCCCTGGGCTGCAGTTTCCAAAGCTGATTCAAAAAGAAAGCTCTGCAGTCAGATGGAAAATGGGCTTTTCCCTAAACAAGCTCTCGAAATTGTCCAAGAATTGAGCCCTTGTTGAAAGGGATGAGGTTGGTGACAAAAATAGACAGTCCCCTAGGTGGAAAATGTGTGTGTCTTCATTCCGATGTGCTGTTGGGAGCTCAGCTTTTGACCATACAGAGGGCAGCTTTGTGCATGATTAGGGGTAGTTGCCTCAAAGCTAAATTTCTCTTCCCCATTTCTTGGGGATAGAGTAGAGGAGAACAATCAATTCTATTTGGGCACAGGTTACACGATAATAAGAAAAATGCTCTACCCCCTCCCCCACCAAAAAGGATTGAAAGAGTTGCTGCTTGTTTGGGGTGTTGCTGTAATATTAAATAAAGTCTTTCAACACAGATCAAAGCTTAAAGGACAAAGGTAAGACAGAGTTTTACCCAGAAGACAGAGGCCTCAGTTCCATTCCTTCAGCGCTCTCTAAGGATCTCCTTCATTTGTACATGGAAAAGCTAAGTTTCAAAAAGGGGAAGGCAGGAAGCCAAGGTCACGGGAAGACAGCTGGCAGAGTGTAGAACAGAACCCAGAAGCCCACCTGGAAGGGGAACACACCCATGAAGTGTGTGAGCCTTCCCAGTTCCTGTGGAGCGTGAATGTGATTGGGAGGGGCTGTGCATCTGTGAGCTGTTGCTTCCTTTAATCCTCTCTGGGACCACCTGCTCAGGCCACACAAGCTGCTGATAAGGGAATGAGGACTGAAAGATAGGAGCTCTGCGACCCCACAGAGCACATACACAGGAGCAGTATTGGGGTGTCTGGAACTGAGTTTTCTCGTGTGTGGGCCTGGCATGGACTGCCCCAGAAGATGGTCCTATGGACAAATCAGAGTAGAAGGATGGCAGGGAATTCTTGAAAAGGAGGGGGTCTGGGACTGAGGGAAAAGGCAGCAGGTGGCGTGGCTCAATGCCAGAGAGACCTGAGTGTAATCCTAGCTCTGCCCCTGCCAGCTGTGTGACCTCAGGCAAGTCACAGCACATCTCTCAGCCTCCAGTTCCTCCTCTCAGAAATGCATATCATAGATACACACCTTGCAGTGAACTCAAGGTATTAGAGGGACTTAATAAATGTTATTAAATCATGAATCCTGAGCTAAAAAAAAGAGAGAGAGAAAAAAAGAGGACACTCATGCATGCCCGCACACATCACCTGCCCCAACTGACAAGACTTGATGTTTTTAGACCATCCCTTTAGCTGGTCTAAAATCTGTAATGCTTCTAAACTGCGTTCAACCCATAATTACCCAGAATGCAGACAGAAAAGAGATGAAAATTAGCAGTGAGAGAGGTAGATGAAGTCAAAGGATTAGAAACCTCTGATGGCACAAAATTCACTCAGTCAAAAGATCAAAATTCCAACCTAACTATTTTGTGTTGCTATTATTCTTTATTTTAGGTTGAGAATTTAACAGTATTTATTGCCTGAGAACATTTGTCTTTTTCTTTTCTCTAATGTTACTAAATAATATAAACAGTCCAGTTAAGAGTTTTAATGGCTTTAATACTTTAAGCAATAAAAAAATTTTTTAAAAAAAGTTTTAATGGGAACAACTGTCCATGTGATTTGTCAGGAGCCAAAATAAAATTCTTTTTTTTTTTTTAAATATATTTTATTGATTTTTTACAGAGAGGAAGGGAGAGAGATAGAGAGTTAGAAACATCGATGAGAGAGAAACATCGATCAGCTGCCTCCTGCACATCTCCCACTGGGGATGTGCTCACAACCCAGGTACATGCCCTTGACCGGAATCGAACCCGGGACCCTTCAGTCGGCAGGCCGACGCTCTATCCACTGAGCCAAACCGGTTTTGGCCAAAATAAAATTCTTTAAACAACAAACATGACGCCAATTGAAATCAACACTTAGTTGTTCCCACAAATGCAATGAGGACTCCTCAGAGCCACTTCAAAACATCAACTTCAGAAGTTTATCTACTTCCTAGGTCTGGAAAAGAGATTAAGAGTCAGAAACTGCATCATACACACCTGGGTTCAAATCTCAGCGCTGCCATTTAAAATGCATGTGACCCGGAGACACCTGATCCATAAATAGGAAAAATAATACGTGTCCCAGAGAATTATGGTGAGGGTTAAATGAATAAAACTGTGTAAAGGGCTTACCAAGTGCCTGGCACATAATAAGTGTTCAATAAACGGTAATTAAAGAAAGCTCCACTTGAACCTCTGAGGCCTTCCAGTACTTTCTTTTGCAACTGATTTTCCATATAATATCTTCTCTTGTTCTCTCATTGACCCAAGAAGATCTATGGGTTAGAATTCATTGGTGCCATTTTATTGAGAAAACTGAGTGGGAGAAGTGAAGTGACTTGCCTCCAGTCCCAATGGGAATGAATAGAAGTGTAGACAGGTCCCTCACAAGCCCTGCACTAAAGGGCTGCTTTCCCAGGCCTCAGAAGGAGAGAGGTCAAGGGTGCTAGGCCCCATACAAAGTCCCCTACCCAGGGTGGAATTCAAGACTTCAGTATGATCACAGGGAAGCAAATATGACTCAGTTCCCCCAGCCAGACTAACCCATATCCAACTGCCCCCACCCCCACACACATCCGAGCCAGGGCCTGGTATCAGAGCTGCCCAGCTGACCGCAGTCGGAGCTGCTGACACCTGTTCCGGATGAGCAGGCCCGACTGTGGCTGGAAAGCCAGAATGTTCTACCCCACAGTTTCCAGGATCTGACGTACACGCTGCTGCTCACCTGCTGAGGGAAATCTCCATGACCACGTCAGCGGGTTTATTGTAAAATCACCATCTCATAGTCTCCAGCCCCATCCCGATTACTCAGTCATGACCCTCCCATTTCCCTTGTGACATGGGAATGGAGAGACCCCAGAAATGAGGGAAACCACTCCACAAGGCCCTATACATCTAGGCTACCAGGATCCCAGACTGGCCCTGAAAATTGTAAAAACTCAGCAGCCTTTTAAAAAGGATGGGCAAGCCTTTTCTGTAAAAGCCCAAATAAAATAAATGGTTGGTTTGGTGGGTCATATCCAGTCCCTGCTTTATTTGTTTTTTCTGCTTTGTTTTTTAAAAGCCCTTTATGATTGTAAAAACTATTCTCAGCACAGGGGCCATACACAAACAGGCCTATGGCAGAATCTGGCCAGAAGGCCCTGGTCTGTGAATCTCTGATTTATCCAACTGTTCCATTGCATAGATGGAAAAACTGAGGTCCAAAGAGTTTCAATACATTTGTCCAAGGTCACGCAGCGGTCAGGACTGTCACTCATACTCAGATCTGACTCCTGGGCAATTCTGCCTCCAGGATTAAAAATACTTTAATTTATTTCTTCAAAAATCTGTTAACTCCTGGTTCTTAACCAAAATATTTGATTAATTGCATTTTCAATGTCCAATAGTGCAAATGCTGTGTATGAATATGATAGAAGCAAAAACGTTATCTCCAATCAAAACAAGCTGTGGTTGCTTCTGCCTTCCAAAGGCAGAAATCATTTCTATCAGAGGAAAGAAATCTGTGTTAGCGCTCTCTTATCTGGCAAAGCTGGTAGGGAGAGAAGAAAGAGACTGTTCTCTTACACTAGTGAAAAGGCAGGGGGTGTTGTAGAAGACTGCATTGCTTTGCCGAGTCTTTGAGTGTGCAAAGGGAGACACACACCCCAGGCCATGTGGCCTGTAGTGTTGGCCTATATTGCTCTTCTTAATAAAAGGAAGAGAATTGGGGAGCCGAGCAGGTGGGGTGTCCTAATAATGAAATGAAGAGGCTGTTAGAGGAGAAACAGGATGGCAGAGAGACACAGCAGTGTGGAACAGACAGAATGGTAAGATCAGGAACATCTGATGTCAGCATTGAGTAATCTGCACTAATAGGATCTAAGCCCCCTTCATGTCCCTCAAACCTCTCCTAGAGTGTACTGCACACAAAAGCCTTGTGTGAGCATTTCTGGTGTTGTTCTGAGCAAATGGAAGAGGAGCTGCTGGGGAAAGTGGGATAGACGAGGTGAACACACATGAAGACAACCCAACACTGAATGAACAAACTGCGCCGAGACTCTTCCCACTGCAGAATCGCCTGCCCAATATTCTTTCCCCCTTCATCTTGCTAATCAGAACCCCAATCCTGTTCAGGGTCAAAAGTGCCCAACCCTATTCAAGATCCTCACTTTCCTAGTTTTCCTTGCAGCTAGGAAGGGCCATGTGCCATAGTTAGTCAATCAGTAAGACACTGAAGTTCCCACCTTGATAAAAATGAACAAACGTCCTCTCGCTGACACGCTACACCTAGGCTGTGGGAGACGTCTTGCTGCTACTGTCCGATGGAACTTTACGCCACGATGGAAATGTTCTGTGCCTGCACTGACACAGCACAACAGCCAGCAGCCCCTTGAAATGCTGCTAGGGCAACTGAGGAACTGAAATCTTTTTAATTTTGATTCACCCAAATTTAAGTAGCCACACACTGACTAGTGACTATCTTATTGGACAGCTAGGGCTAGAGAATCATAGGCTCTCTGACCCTCATGTGGAGACATCTATCTCCAAACTCTTTGTTATGTAAGAAAAAAATAACTCCTTAATTTCTAGGTCACTGTAAATGCATTCTTACCCATATGGCCAGGGAGAGAGACCCAGGGGGGTCCCACTGCCCAAGGGATAATATTCCAGGATCAATCCCATTTTATTTGCATCTCCACCAGCCTTGCTAAGGGCCATATGAGGGGAGCAGAGTGGCCTGGGGCCAGGGGAGCCCAATTCTTACAAACAAACAAGGGGCAAGCACAAGGCATCCACCCCTTGAGTGACCACCTCAGCTGGTACCCGGAATGACCTCAGACACGCACAGCCTAACTGAATCCCCATCGCTGCCCTAGGGGAGGTACTTACACCCCTTCAATCATGGTGGCTCAAATCTGAACACAGAAGTAGGTGGTAGGCTAGCAAGGCTTCCAGAGAGGCTTAGAATTGAGGAGCTGGGAAGAATGTGTTACCTTCCAGAAAATGCCAAGAGAGAAACTCGGGTGGGTGAAGAGTGTTTTGTGGGAAAAAGCTTCTAGGCTGGAAGTATACACAAAGGTTATATACACCCACCATCAACCCTTACCCCACCAACAATGCCCAACAGATTGGTTTTGTAAGTTAGCTATATACAACTGGCTTATTTCACAGAGGGTGTGGTAAACCAACTGTACTTTCACTGGAAAAAAATTATTTGTGTATCTCTGGACAAGAACGATTTGCAGTGTTCTCGCTTATCTACAACTTGCACAGTTAAAGGATAATTTCTATTAAAAAGGGATATAATCATGGCCCTCACAGAAATATAAAACAAACAGGTGTCAAGGATTTTACTTAGTTCATTAATTTGTGAGGGAACCAATAAGATATCACAAGAGGTTCAAAGAATCATGCACACACAAAGAAATGCTGAAATGAATTCACAAATAGATGTACAACTGGCTTATTCCACAGGGGGTGTGGTAAACCAACTGTATTTCCAGTGGAAAAAAATTATTTGTGTATCTCTGAAAAAGAACGATTTGCATTGCTCTCGCTTATCTACAACTTGCAGAGTTCTGAAATCGCTCAAGGGCAATGAAAGGCACAGAGTTCTCATAGAAACACCCTGTTTTCCACTATTTCCAGTAATCTTTTCATTTTATTTCAAAGTCATTCACCATCTTTCCTACAACTTCAAGGTCAAACCTCTACATCTTCTCAACGAGGCCCACACTTGTCCGTGGGATCCCCCCCTTGACATGAATGCCAACATTCCAGAAAGTCAGGCACCTGCCCTGGAGCTGGAGAGAACTGATGTAAGCACTATGGGCATGGAATACAGGATTCTTGAGCTCAGAGAATAACAAGGACTTTATTTTTCAGAAATAGAATCTGAGGCCCAGAGAGGACAAGGGATTTTCCTAAAGACACTGAGCAGAATGGAAATGACACCTTCACCTCTGCTGCACACATTTCCTTCTTTTTTTAAAATATATTTTTATTGATTTTTAGAGAGAGAGGAATGAAGAGGGAGAGAGAGAAACAGCAATGAGAATCATCAATTGGCTGCCTCCTGAACACCCCCCACTGGGGATCGAGCCCGACCAAGAACCCAACTGGAGACCTCTTGGTTCCTGGGTTGATGCTCAACTGCTGAGCCACACCAATTGCGCTTTTCCCCCACACACACATTTCTGAAGACAAAGTGGCTGAAAACAGAGGTGCTGAGGGTCTACTTATTCCCCATGGCCAGGGCAGAGTGACCACTGGGGCCCTCCCCCTGAGCTGTGCTCTTTCCCTCCTTGAGCCATATCAGCAAAAAAGGGGTAGTAATAATACCTCCCTCCCTACGATGTGCATTGTGAGGTTTATATGGGACAGCATAGATAAAATGCTGCATAGCAGATGCTCTATAGAAACCAATTCCCTTCACCCTCCTGAGTGTCCTAGTGACCCCAGGGCAGTGACAGAGGTCATTCCAGTTTCACTCCCCAAGGGGTTGCAACCAAACCTAAAGACCGCAGCTTCTTGACCAAGATGAATCACATATTTCTTTCAATTAGATTGGACCAGCCTCAGCCCACCGCCGCATTTCCTGGGCCCCACTATAACAAATTTTGAGGAAAACACAGAGCAAGAGGCGAGTACAAAAAATTAAAAGTCACCCCCAAGCAAGAGGGGCTCTGGGACAGGGGTCAGAGGGGGTGGCAGAGGTGGCCAGGCAACAGTGAGAATAGGGGACCCAGAGCCTCAGTGAATCATGCCTTCAGCACAGGGAACCCGCAAACAGAGACACCAAGTTTGTTTCCCAGCAGGGTGAGCTGGTGTGACCTTCAAACAGCCCTTGGGGCAGGGCTCTACGCATCTTCTGGGTCCTGATATGACTGAGCATCCGTCACGTAACGGTGTTGTGAGCAACTTGGTCTCAGTTTCCTGCCACATTCTCAATTTCGAGGCATCCCTGATTTCTCTCTTCAGAGAGAAATCTTTCTAGCCCCAGGCTAGGAAGTGGTGGGTTTTGTTTTCTTTTCTTTTCCAACGTGCACACTCACACCAACATGCAACAGGGCCTTTCCCCTCTTCTGGGAGGGAAGTTTGCAAAAACATTAGGAGTCAGACAAGAAGGGGGCCCCAGAGTTTCTTGTTTCCAGTCCTCTGCCTTCTTCCAGGTCAATGAGAACCCCCAATGAATTCTGGCTCTCCCAGGACCGATCAAAATGTAGACCTCGGATGAAGGCCCTTTGCATTTCTCTGACACTTCAGAGTTTCCAGATCACGTTCTTGTCTCAGTCACTGGAGAAAATGTGATCCTGTTTTGCCAGATAAGAACAATGACATTCTGAAAGGCCAGGCGAATCGACTGAGGACACAGCTGAGCCAGAACTAAAACCCACGTCTTTCATCACAGGTATCATTGGTAGCAATGGGGAAACTGAGTCCAGAGAAAGAAAAGCAGCTTGCCTAAGCGCACACAGGGCTGGGATTGGAACCTGCATCCTTCCCAGATCAAAGCTCCTTTCATTCTACTGCCTCGCCTCTCTCCTTAGAAATCTCTCAGGACAGAACCTCTATCTGTGGCCCCAGGGGCACTTCCTTTCAGGAAAAGATGGCAGTGACTGTAGGAAGCTCTCTGTTAGGGAAGCTGTGGGTGCATGTGAGCTAAGCTGAGGAGAGAGCACTGGTGTCTGCCATGAGTACTGTAAGTAGACTGGTCACTCTCAATTCCTGTCCTTGTCTGGATTCTATTCTCACTCCCTTTTCTCCTATGTTGAGCAGTATTGTCGGCAGCACATAAAAGTGACAAAAACAGTCAAATCTAGAGGTTCAGCCTACTTACTCCCTGAGAACGAAATCAAGATTAATGAACCTATACCTCATGAGATCTGCCATACTTAGGAGTATTTTGATCTTTTACGGAAAAACCAAAGTTCAGAGCTTGAGGGTGGAGTCACCTGGGACTTGCTGCTACAAGGCACTGAGTACAGTGTGAGGAACAGTCCACCTGAAAAGCAATGCCTGCACTTTGCAGTGTTCGTCATTAGGTTTTCGATTTGGAACTCATATTGGAAACCACTGCTGTGGGCTCATGTGACATAGCTCTGAGGTACAATAGAGCAGGGGCTCTCACTGTGATCAATTTCAGCTGCTCTGGGGTGAATGGCAGTCTCTCCGTACCTCCCACTAAGCGCATTTACCATATGCCTCTGATAGTAGACTGGATTACTCTTCTCAATGCTTCCCTGTCTTGTACTTTTTATTAGGATGACATATCCTTTTTGCCTAGGACTTGACACTACCTCTGAGTAGAAGAGGTAAAGTATATATGTCCAAGCTCCTTAACATAGGACTTGGCCATCAGATTTGTTTTAGCCAATAGAACATGGGTGTGACAGAGTGTGACCAGTTCTAAACACGGACCTTAAGAAGCATCACGTGTTTCTGCTCATGTCTCTCGTGCTCCTGCTATTTTCCATGTTAAGAGTTTCTGCCAAGTCGTTTCTGCTCTTTCCTTCTAGTTCCTAATATGAAGAAATGGGAAGCCAAGCCCTGCTTATCCAAGTTAACCCAACAGAGCCACATGAACTGACCTGCAGATCTGCAAGGAAAATATATGTCTTCATAAATTACAAGCCACTGATATTTGGGGTGAGGGAATTTGCTATAGAACATTATCAAGCAAAAAATTGACTGATATAGACACAGAGATTGTTATTGTGGGTATTCTATTCAAAATATAATCTCCAAATTCAATTAGTGTTTTATTACATGTAATAACAGACAGATGGGTCTTTTTCTTTATATAGATTGTACATTGACACCATGGCATCTAGCTTGTACATCAGTCTCTTTTGAACTTGGGCAAAATGAGTCTGTTCCCAAATCTAGTCACTCACTACTCAGCAGATATTCAGGGATTCAAACCAAGGCCAACAACCAGAGATATAAAGAAAGAATTCCCACATGGAAGGACAACATTGCAAAATACTACAAAAATCTACTCACTGCTGAGATGGCATGGACAACGAAAAGTTTGGGGAATTATGTTTCTGACTACCACCTCACATGTCCCTGGGAATATTTAAAGAAAGAAGTTCCCAAATATCAATCATGGGCCACGTTTGAAAAAGGGGTGGGGAAGAGTTCAAGCTTTATGGCAATAGCAGAATCCTTTGCTTGAATGCGATCGTCCACGTATTCTCAATTTTAAAAAATTGATAAAAATGGAGTTGCTCTGCTTGCAGCCTGTGCAAGAGGCCAAAGCCCCTTCTGTTCACCCTTTCCCTAACCCCCTGGGGTGATATCTACATGGATATCCGTTTTAGCAGTGGGGAAACTGAGGTCAGAGAAAGGAAGATAATTCTACAGACTCCAATGAGGAAGTCATAGGATTTCAGGGTCTCTGAAGACTCTCTGAACTCCAACACCCCAGATGCCTTCAAAGCAAATAATCTTGGGGTAGTCATATTCATCCTATTTGAAAGAACATAAAATATAAAGACGTAGTTGTGAATCTTGATACAAGAGGCATGCCCAATCCTGGCCACTGTTAAAAAGCAAGACAAGGACTGCTGATTCTCTCTCAGGAAGGCTCCAGCTGCAGGTTTTGACTCAAAGAATCAGCAAGTGAATCTCAAAATCATCTCGTCTCTTCAAGCCATCATTCTTCCCAGAGGCATCATTATCCCAGGTGAATCAAAGTGACAGGAATCCCTGGGCCACCCTCCTCCTAAGATCGATTTGGCCTCAGATGGAAGGAGATTGGAGGCGCTCCCAGGAGCCCTCTGTCAGGGCCTGTCAGGGCCTGCTGCTGACACCTTCAATCTCTCCCCCACTCTGAATTCATAATGAAGTGAAATCATACACCATGCACCGGACAAAAAAGGCATCTCTTCCATATTTCAGTGCAAGCCGTAGAAGGAGGGGATAAAAAGATTGAGACAAAATGAGATGAACCCGGGTTCTATTTAACAAATGTATGGAGGTTAGACTGAGTGTACCAAGTGATGAGGAAACAGAATAGCTATTGCTCCATTTTCCCCCAGGGAGACATTATATAACCTCTGTTTCTCTCTACTGAAAGCAGATACAGAAATATGTTTTGCATTAGTGCATCTAGAAATTGGCAATTCACCATTTAAAGGGCCAAGAGCTGTAGGATGGAAGGAGGTAATCCCAAGCAATGTGTAGAGAACCAGGATGAGGATCTAGTTTTCTGGTGACTCCAAGACTCATGTAGGTAAATCTCTTTCCTCTCCCAGACCTCAGTATTCCCAGGATTTAAAGATGAGAGAAGGATCAGAAAGAGGATGAGAAAGACCCATCTCAGGCTTCCAGCATTCAGTTTCTCAGAAATTGGTCGCTCTGGTGCCCTTGACCTTGACCCTGAAAAATCAGCAGGATCTGCAGATGCCAAGAAATTGGATCTAATTTTGACTGCCTTTAACCCAAGTAAGCAAACATTTACTTTGTGTTGAAAGGCCAGGAAAATTGCCAGAATCACTTTTCTTTCTACGACAGAAGGAAAATGACCAAGTGAGTTGTTCATCCTAACACCATCAAAACAAATTGTTTTATTAATCTGATGAAAACTTGGTTACACTTACTGTTATATCTCCTTCTTGCATCAACTACTATGAAATTGAGAATCATTAATTTCACATTGACAATTTTAGTCTTAATTTTCACTAACCCTTGTTTTGTGACTTTAATATTTACACTAGCCATCACTTTATGACTTATATGAAATTTAAATGTTCTTTTGAAAGTATTTGAAACAACTAATGATAAAGGATCATATATATTTATATAACAGAATACTAAATTATCAAATATATTAGCACTAGTGGAATTTTCAAATTCCTCAAAGACTTATGAGGATTGGGAGAAAATGCATTCTATAAAATTTTTAAAGCAGCCCAGCCATGTTGCTCACTGGTTAAGCGTCGACCTATGCACAGTTCAATTCCTAGACAGGTCTCAATCCCCAGTAGGGGGCGTGCAGGAGGCAGCCGATCAATGATTCTCTCTCATCATTGATATTTCTCTCTCTCTCTCCCTCTCCATTCCTCCCTGAAATCAATAAAAATATTTTTTAAAAAACTTTTACAAGAATTCCACTTCTAGGTATTTATCTGAAGAAAACAAATTAATTTGAAAAGATACATGTATCCCTGTACTTACTGCAGCATTACTAGTAATAATAGCTTAGCTATAAAAGCAACCTAGATGTCTATCAATAAATGAATGCATATAAAAGATGTGATATATCACATATTCCATTGTATTCAGCCATAAAAAAAAAGAAAGAAATCTTGCTATTTGCGACACCTTGGTTGGACCTACAGAGTATTATACTAAGGGAAATAAGCTAAGCAGAGAAATACAAATATCATATGATTTCACTTATATGTGGAATCTTAAGGTAAAAAAAAAAAAAGAGCCCTGACCGGTTTGGCTCAGTGGATAGAGCGTCGGCCTGCGGACTGAAGGGTCCTGGGTTCGATTCCGGTCAAGGGCATATACCTTGGTTGCGGGCACATCCCCAGTAGGTGTGCAGGAGGCAGCTCATCGATGTTTCTCTCTCATCGATGTTTCTAACTCTCTATCCCTCTCCCTTCCTCTCTGTAAAAAATCAATAAAATACATTTTAAAAAAAGATAAACAAAACAGACTTATTAAATATAGAGAACAAGCTGATGGTTGCCAAAGGGGAGGGTGTGGAGGGATGGGAATTTTTAAAATAACTTTTATTTTAGCCTCTTCCTTACCGACAAGTCCTATGATACTTAGAAATTGCCCAAGAGAAGCTCATGTTTCTGGGGTGGGTTTTTTTGTTGTTCTTTCTGACTTGGAAGAGGCAGGACTAACACCGAGGTTCCTTGCTTCCCGGTTCAGTTCTCAGGCCCCAACATAACTGTCTTCATGTTATGAATTAGTTCTCTCTGAAAAGGCATCTCGTCCCAAAACAGACTCTTCCCAGCCACCAGGTAAAGCTCATGAAGCCTCTCACAATGACTCACTCGGAAGCAAAGATCCCCTAGCACAGAAGCAAGTCATAATACAAACACCCCACAGCCTGGTCTGCACCAAAGCTCCAGGCTGCATGCAGTCCCCACGCCAAGACGGCTCCAGAGGGCTAACCCCAGAGAGCATCAGACACTTGGAAAACTGCCCTCTAGCGCCTCGGTTCCCCTTGTACTGACAGCACAGCACATAGAACTTTCTCCCCCTGCCTTTTATTCTCTTTCCCCATCCAGGCCTCCACTCATTCAGTCATTCATTGTAGTAGATTAGATCCATTAAGGCCCCAATTCTCATCCTGCCCTTTACCCATTCCTTTGCCATATGAGAGTGAAGCACCTCCCACTCTGTCTCTGGGTCTAGCCCTGATGTTAGCAGACATGACCCAAGCAGAGGCAAGAAAAACCTGCGTGCTTCCACTCATTACCTGTAGCCTCTTCCATTGGTTTGGGCCAGCCTGCTAGGATGTGAGGGGCATGCGGAGCAGAGTCAAGTCACCCCAGTGGTCCCAGCCATGGCCACCCTAGATCATCAAGCAGCCAGCCAACTCCCCAAACACATGACCAGGTCCATCCAATGTCAGCAGAGCTGCCTAGTTGACCACCCCAGGCACATGAGTAATAAATAGGCATTATCACAAGCCACTGAGATTTTGTGGTTGTTACTCAGCATTACTGTGGCAATAAGTAACAGAAGACCCAACAACAGTTACCACTGTCTTCTATGTCTTATGCTGGGTTCTGAGCTACAAAGAAAAATCAGTAATGGTCCTGCCCTCGAAGGATCCCAATCTGCTGGAAGAAACACAAAGAGCACCTCTTTATCTAAAAGGATCTTGCCCCTCTGCCCACAACAGAATTCCCAAGCCCTAACTTCTACCCTCTTAATAACAACAACAAAAACTGATCTGAAGGCAGAATGTGGTAGTGGAGTATCAGTAAAGATAAGGTTCAAGGACATGGGACAAATTTTTTCCCAAAATAACAGCTGTTAAACACACAGTTTTATTTTCTTATGTAAAAAGCCCAAGGATGGACATTCCAGGGCTGGTATAGTGTTCTGCAAAGTCAGGCACCCAGGATCCTGCTACCTGATGTTCCATCATTCTCAACACATGGCCTCCACTTAATAATCCAAGAGAGATGCTCAAGCTCTAACCATCACCTGTACATTCCAGCCAGCAACATGGAAGAAGGACAAAAGAATGTTTCCAAACATTGCACAGGACACTACCACTCATTTGTCACTGGCCAGAACTTAGTCTCATAGCCTCCTCAACTGCAAAGAAGACAGGAAAATAAGTCTTTCTTCCAGACAGTTACATGCCCAGCCATAAATTGGAAGTTCTATTAGTAAGGGGGACGTGGAAGATTGAGAGTGGGAAACAGTAGTTCCTGCTGCAAGTGCCAACTGTTTGGGATCAAACAGACCTAGATCCATATCACAGCTCAACTAAAGGGCCCAACTGGTAAACTTGGGAAAATTCTTTCCTTCTTTGGGTCTACCTATACAATGGGGATAAGGGAGTGTTGGCACACATGTTACCTTAATCTCTTTCTGGCTCTTTACTTTCCAAAATCATAAAGATTCTGAAGAGGTTGGCTTT